GGACAGAGGACTCATCAAACCTGTGGACAACAAGAAGCCAGGCAGGCAGCAGCAGCTGCACATCTGCCTTTTCACATGCCCATCTGCTCCTTTCATGTGCCAAAAACTTCACAGATTCCCTAGATTCAGGCACCTCTGTGGCCTCCTTTCTTTGGAGCTACCCTCAAAATCGGAGTGCTTTTCTTTGTTCCTTCCTGTGAAGCACAACTATTCTGTTCTCCTACTGCTGTTTTGTTGACTTCATTCTTCTTTCACTCACAGGACGGCAGTCCTTGCAGAAAAAACTGATCACATCTGTGGTGTACAAGATGGAGGTGAAAGTGTGGGGAACAGCTGGATCACAGGCTTGCTCTCTTTTTCCCTATGATTTTATATTCTAAAAAATGGGGCACTCTGCTGGACATTTGAAAGCTACCAGATTGGCTGCAGAGGACAAACCTAACATAACCAGCCTATGGTCTTCTGTGAGGTGAGAGGTGACCACCCTTGTTGCTTGTCAGCCAGCTATTCTATCAAAGTTCTCTGAAAATCCTCCATGAAGAGTCCAGCTAACAGCTTAGGCTTTTATTCATCAGCTAGTAGGAGGGACCACACCCGCCCCACATACACTTTAGCCAGATGTTTCTCTATAGATTTATGGAGCCAAAAGCTGATTAGGATCCTAGCCCACCTTTAGTGCACCCTCATCTCCAGTGTCCCTATTGCCTGAACTCCTGTCCTGAAATTATTAGAGCCAGTGTCTACCCAGAAATTCTCTAGATTCCTCAGGAAACTTTTGTTAGGACAAAAGCCAAAGTAAAATGAGTGTTCCTTAGGCCATGTTATCATCCAACCTATTGACAGCAGGCTTACACTTCTCTGGCATTTTCTCCAGTGCTCAGGTCATGGGGGAGCTTATTATAGAATTCTCTTAACTACTGCCTCAGGCTTGGTACAGAGACTGGCACTTCTTTAGAGAAAGGCAACTTTGCAGTACTGTCCCTCTTCCCTGGAGGCTAAACTAAGGGACATTGTTAAGAGAGCTTTCTGTCACCTATGGGAGTCACCAAGTTATATTCCATCTCAACTCATCTATCTACCATGAGGATCAGGTCCCAGGAGCACCCTGCTAAGACAAGGAACATGTCATCACATGGAACCACTACTGCCATGTGGAACCACTACTGCCATGTGACCCAAGGGGCAATGCAATACAAAAATAGGATATTAAAAGTTATTTGAGAAGATAAACAGATCACCTGTAAAGGAAAGCCCATTAGAATCACATCAAACGCTCAAGTCAAGAAGAGCTTGGAATGAAGTATTTCAAATCATAAAAGAAAACAACTTCCAACTCAGATTGATGTATCCTGCAAATTATCTTTCAAAATAAGCAGAGAAATAAAATATTTCTATATCAAAGAACAATTGAAGAATCCCATGACTGCCATATCAACGCTACAAATGTATGGAAAAATATTTTAGAGATAAACATGATCACAATTCCAAGAACATCAACAAAAAGAAACTACGAGGTAGAGTAAGCAGTTAAACATAAGGGAAAAGCAGGGAACCAACATCAGGAGAAGAACATGACAAGGATAAGCCAATACATATAATTTATAACCAGCAATAGAAATGGCCTCAATTCACCTATAAGAAGAAACAGATTGGCAGAATGGATCAAAAACAAGATCTAAAAATATGCCATATAGAAGAAACACATTTAACTCAGAAGGAAATTCATAGAATGAAAATCTAAGTATTATTTTCTATGGAAAATAAGTTCTAAATAATAGAAAATAATACTCTATGCAATAGGAACCCTGAAGAAAGCAGGGGTAGCTATTCTGTTTGCAGAAAATGTGAATGTTCCACCAAGAATGACCAAAAGAGATAAAGATCACTCCATACTTATTAGTAGAAAACTTTTAGAGGAAGAGATAGAAAATCATGCATATGTATGTATAAAATGTGGGAGAAACCAGCTATATAAGGCGATTTACTCCCTTGTATTGACTTCAGGCTTGACTTGCTCTTCTTTTTCTAAAAGCTTGAGGTGCAACATTAGGTTACTCATTTGCAGAGATAGACTTAGAAAATCAAATAAGGAATAACACAGTTGTAATGAAGTAATTTAATAACACATTGTCAATGGACAAAAGTTCAGGAAAGAAATATCAGAACTGAATCAACCCTGTGAACAAATGCACTTAGAAGATGTTTACAGAGTGTTTCACCCAACAACATCAGAATATACATTCTTTTCAGGTGCACACTGGATGTTCTTTAAAATAGACCACATACTATCCCATAGAACATGTTTAAGTAAGGGCAAACGAATTCAAATTATGTCATGCATATTATCTGTGTGTAATGCAATAAAATTAGAATTTAATGGCAAAAGAAACCAGAAAAACTCCATAAACACATGAAAGTTGAGTAACCCCCTTCTGCACAGCCAATGGGTCGAATATGAAATTAAAGAAGAAATTAAACAACATCTAAAGTGAAATGAAAATACAGATATAACATACTGGAACCCATGGGAGTCAATCGAAGTAGTCCTAAGAGAAATTAGTAGTGTTGAATTTTCATACCAGGAAAACAGAGCAAGAACAAATGAGTAACCTAATGTTGCACCTCAAGATTTTAGAAAAAGAAGAGCAAGTCAAGCCTGAAGTCAATACAAGGGAGTAAAGTTTGAAAGTCAGAGCAGCAATTAATGCAGTAGGAGCTAAGGAAACAACACGAAGCATGGTTCAAAGAATTGGCTCTTTGAAGGAATAAATGAAATGATAAGTACCTAGCCAAACATATTTTAAAAAGGAAAGAATAAATTTATGAAATGAAAAGGATGAAATCACTATAGATCCTGTGGGAACTCACAAGATCATCAATATCTACTTCAAAAATCTTTACTCATATAGGAAAGAGAACAGAGGAATGGACAGATTCTTGGAACGTGTCTGAATTGCTGAAGCTGAATCAAGAAGACATAAAAATTTTGAGTGACCCAATATCAGTAAATGAAATTGAAAACAATTAAAAACAACAAAAAGAAAGTCCAAATCCTGAATGGATTCACTTCTGAATGAGATAAGAAATAGAGACAAGATTTAATGCAAATGCTCCTCAAACTCTTTAATAAAATGGAAAGGGATCAAATACTTGCTAACTCATTTCTCAAGGCAAGTATTACCAAAACTTGATAACAAAAGCAGAGAAATACCCAAACAGAAAGGAGAACGATAGGCCAATCTCTCTAATGAACAGATGTGAAAATACTCAATAAGAGACTATCAAACATGATAGCAAATCATCAAGGAGATTATATATTGTGAGCAAGTGGGATTCATCCTAGCAATGCAAGGATAGTTTAATATACACAAATCAATAAATTTAATACACCATGTCAACAAGATAAAAAGCACATGATCATCTCACTAGATGCAGAAAAAGCTTTTGACAGTCTAACACTCATTCATGATAAAAGAAAAAAACTACAGAAAATCAGAATAGATGGCCTACCTCAATCTGATAAAAGCTGTCAGTGACAAACCAACAGCCAACATTATACTAAAAAACAATGCTGGGCTGG